GATCGGTAGATGCCACCAAGCAAATGCTTGGTGTGGCCTACGGTGAAATGACACCATATGGAGTCTGGGAGTTCAATAACTGGTGGGTCAGTTGCACGCACACATTTAAGTTGCTTATCATAGTATATGGCAACTCCCCCTCCTTCCTTATTATCCCTGTCTCTCTTGACCAAAACCATATCACCTGTACTGATTTCATTATCGGCGATAGTGGGGGTTAGCCATGTTTCGGTGAGAATGATCATTTTAAGTTGTAGGTGTGCTTGGAGATTTCAGAGTTCACCTATTTTTCCTCTCAGCCCCCTCACATTGCTATATAGGCAGCTGACAGTGATTCTTACAACCTCAGCATGTTGTGGGGTAGTTGACGTGAAGCTGTCTGCTGGTAGGGGACGTAATGTTGGGACTAGTTGGCCAGTTCCAATGGAACCGGCCCGTTGTGGTTTTTTCCCTTGGATTTAGGCAGGACACTTGGGTGGCACAGACTGTTATTCTCAGAACTGCATCGCCCGAGTGTCACTGAAGCTTGGGGACGTATTAAAGCCTCCGTTTGCTGCCTCCTTATGGTTCGAGGTCTGCTTTCGCAGCATCGGATGTGTCCTCCCAATTTCCCCTTGATCTCATACCACCGTTGAAGTGTTATGGCCAACTGCTCTGGGGAGTTGAATGTGACACTTAGCAGCTTTGGGGAGCTAATCAGTGTGAGATGAGCGGGGCGAGGTAGTCGGTAAACGGAGATGGCTCCAGAAGCGCCAAGGGCCATCTGAGACGACAGCCATCTCCACTGCTGTACGTCATGCATGTGTTTTTCACAGGTCGTGCCCGTTTCCAGCTCCGGAACACCGTGTACCACCATAGAGGTAGAAGGCAAAAGTTCCGGTGACTCCCTCGCCATTTGTCTGACAGCCCATGGTCTGTCTTGTCTCACCCTTATGTTAGAGCTTCTGTCGATGGCTAGTACCTGAGCCATCAATATTACCTTTTCGGCCTCTTCGGCAGAGTCCAGTGTAACCCGTAATGGGGGTGGCTTACCTTGAGGTGTGTGGACACCACTGTACAGCCTGCACAATTTCACTGAACTAGTTTATTGCACAAGTTGGACCACTGTTCCTGATCAAACATGGCCTGCTGTTCAAGCAAGCTGTCCTTGCTCACAGGTTAAAGAGGATGAGTGAATTAGACCGAATAACCTCAGACTTAGGTTTGGCCTTTGGCTTCTCGTATTCCTTTGCAGCATCAGCAACTTTAGGCTTCATCGGGTTCTGGCCAGCCTTTATTGTGTTGCGAAGCTTGCTTGTGGATGCAAGTGGCGCTTCTCTAATTCTATCTTTCCTTGATGTTTTGGGTCCAACCTTTTGAATCTTCACCTTGTGAAAATTGGCATTTTCAGTCAGTAGGACTGGAGTGTCCTTCTTACTGTCTGTGCCAAGTTTTGGCAATGTGATGTTAGCAGGTGGGGAACTACATAAGGCCGTGTTGGGACACAAGGGCGGCGTGTTTTTTCTGCTATCCGCAGACACGCTCTGTGTGACTATGCCAGGGCGACAGAGTGGACAGATGTACCAAAACCACGGGCACGGGTTATTTCTCATAAACTCGTAGTATGATTTCGGTACCTCTTTGTCGCAACGGCAGTGCACCCACCGTCCGCAAAAATTGCATTCGAACGCTGGGTCAGCTTTAGAAACAATGATATTGCACGCCTGGCATTCGTCTCCCTTACTTGGTGACGCCTTCGAGGTCTTATGACGTCTTGAGCGTTTCCTTTTAGGTTTGTTGTACTTCACACATTGGCTTTCAGTTGGTGCAGGTGTAGCATCCTGTCCCCCTAGTATTGCCTGTGCCGTTTCAGTACTAGACTGTGGCAATGCAGGCATAGTATCAGGACAGACGAGTCCTACACGAGTCTTTAGGATGGGTGTGCGACTTGGGGTTGGTGTCCCTGCGTTTTTGCCTTCTCTGGCTGAAGCCCTTGTGACTACAGAGTAAGGTGTTTTGGTGCCATTTCTAAGGTTACTTTCTACAGCCATATTAACTATCGCTAAAACTTATGCTGTATAAGAATTAGAGTGCAACAGTATCTACCCACAAGAACAAGAATAAGACTGAAAAAGTACAAGACAAGGAAAAGAAAGGGTTTTCGACTTTACCTAGTACTTTCTGGATGATCGGCTTCACAGCAATCACGTGGTAGACCAACAAGTTTTGTTTATCTGAACGAGTGAGGAAGATGCTGCTACGAAAGTAGCACCTGAAGCTTTTGCAGTAGTTATTTTTATTTTTTATTTTTTTATTTTCGTTTACAGCTTGATTCAACACAGTACTTTTGGTAGAAGAATGGAATTTTCAGCATGGATATCGGTAGCCCAAATTTTACAGGCCGACCATAGATATCGGTTGTGCATCGGCAGGTAATCGAACCCCGGACCATGTGCATGGTCGGCGGGAGTCCTAACCACTGTGCTACCGACAGCCGGACTTACCACACAGAGATTCGATATGTAATTAATGGTTGAATTTAATTCACCGGCTAGGAAGATCGGGCGTTGATAGGGCATATCCCCTGTTTGAAGTGGCACCTCCAGCTTTACCTTGAGGACATTTGCGCGGTCTAGTTGATTTCAGTTTGGCTGATTTGTTTCGTTTGATCTAGGTAGCTGCATTTGACGTGATTCTGGTTTCTGTTTGGCTTGGACTGTATTGATTTTGTTGAGAATAGTCGTCAAAAGCTGCCTCTAGGCCTGAAGGCAGTTATGGTGCAGGAGGATGCTTGGGAATGTGTTTCATGTGAAAATTATAGGGTGCACCTAAAATCCTCCTGTTTGTGGCGTCTCAATGATTTCTGTAGAGCTTCGTTTCATCACTTGTGTCCATATTTGTCGTTCACGAGTGTTTCAGTAAATGTTTATGGCTATAATCAGGAACTTCCCAAAACGGTAACTGTGGTAAGGAATTTATATTATTTTCCGCTATAGTTTCCAAGTCAATGTATCTTTTAAGTTGGCTATTCATGAATTTTTTTATTGAAAAGCTTCTGTTTTCATTTACAGTGGTACCGAATGGACGCATTAGCACTTGGAGACAATGGCGACCAACCTGCCCTTCCTATATCAGTGGATATCAAAAAACTTTTTGACGGAATTATGTTTAGTCACCGGTATACCAGTTGGGTTCAAGTAGAAGATGCTCTAAGTCAGCTGGAATCAGTAATATATGTGTATATGTATGACAGAGTATTCCTAGGCAACTCATACACATTATGTAACCAAAAAGTGCATACGGGACCGTGAATCTCAGGATTTGAAGTACAAATTAGTAGTCTTTCGTTGTACATATAGCATGAAGCGAAAAACGAGAGGTTCAGGTTTACGCGTCAAACCGTAAGAATTCTATTATTTATTTCTGCAGTGCAAAATACACCGGTTGCCAATCTGGCTTTCGTATACGCTACAAGGAGGACGAGTTTATCATTTCTTCCGCGAAAACAGTTCACAATCACAGATGTGAAAAAAGTTTTATGATAGGTGATCCATATTTTAGACGCCTGTCCGGGGATGAAAAGGAGAATATTGCACCAGTTGTGAAGACTACATCTGAGGTTGCTGATGTTTTGGAATATGCTGAAGAGAATTTTAATACAATTTTGACGAGCACAGATGTGTATAATTTACGTAGGGATGTGAGACCAGGTAATTGAAGTAGTTTAAAGTTATTTTTGAAGCCATGCCTTTGAAATCAGATGTTATGCGCATAATAAGGCAGAGCGGTCAGGTGGTTGAATACGTGGATTCGAATACAGGGATAACCAGCAGAATTTGCTTCGCCCTGGAATCACAGATTCAGTTATATCGGAAATATGGAGAGGTGGTGTGTATTGACTCAACATACAATACCAATAAGGACGAGTAGGTTATACGTGAAACGGTTGACAAATCTTAATCAGATATTCTCTGTTTCAGTTGGTGGTAACAGACAATATGGGTCATGGCAGGCCTGTTTTTTTGGCATGGACGAGACGAGAGAGGTCATGTGATGTAGCTTGGATATTGGAACAATTCCAAAGAATAATGCAGGATACGTCCATTACAGAAACTTTCGTAATGGATTCGGCCAACTGTGAGTTATCTGCCGTGCGTAATAGTCAAATTCAGGAGAAAATCGTCATCTGTGCATTTCATGTATGCCGGGCTTTCAGCAGGAAGATGAGGTGAATGTAATTAATACTTGATGCATTTAGACTAGAAATCCTTTTGTACGCAGGTTTTTATATCGTCTTGTTAAAGCTGCGACACCTGAAAGGTAAATGCATTGATTTCTAACCGTTTAGATTTCGTCACTACCTTAGTGTCATTAGGATGGTTGATCGGAGGGTGTGGAATTATGTCAGGCATTACTGGGTGCCTAAGAAGGAGACGTGGGCTGCGGCATATATGCCGAATACTCTGTTGCTGTTTAATAGTACCAACAATAGAGTTGAAAGCTCTCACAGTCACCAATAACGATATCTCCACAGGAGAGATCCCCTACACGTATGCATGTACAAGACGTATAAATGGTGTGTACGCACAGAGAAGATCAGGTTTCCCAAGCGGATAATTCACAAAATAGGTATATTCCGGTTAGAGAGGAAAAGGCACATCGTATTCAAGGAGCGCGCGCGTTAAGTTCTGCTGGTTTCCAAGAGCAGTAAAATAAGTGTCATGAGAATCTCGACGCCATGAAATCATCCCAGAAACGAGTTTATAGCTGTCATTCAACAATGTATGCTCATTTTAAACTGGCACGGGATTTCATCGACCTATTCACCTAGGCTAGATTGTAATAAAATATAGGTTAACGAAGTTGTATTACTTATGTATACATATATATCTTTCAACCACTTCAGGACTACTGAAGTCAAGAAAAGTACTCAAAATTATTTTTGCAACGCAGATGTCGTAGCTAGGTATCCTGAAATTATCTAATTTACCACACAAAATTTGAAATACAAAAGTATGAAAAAAAGACATCCATCATGCTTGAAATCCACAGTGTTTTACCGCACAATATAGGCAAATTTTATAAACAGTTCAAGCAAGCTTTTCACAGCATGAAATTTGGCGTGGGCAATACTTGTTTTAATTCATCAATATCTTTTAGTTAAAATCGTCAACTATATAAAAGCTGTTGTGTGTTTTCATGTTTCATCTTCAAAAATGGGACTGAGCTGCGGATACAGATGCTTGCAGTTACTGCTTATCATATTCAATATTGGAGTTTTTGTAAGTTTGTAACACAGATTGTTATTTTAATAGATATGTGGCATTGGGCTCATTGCAGCAGGTGCATATGCACTCAGCTCCGTTGTTAATCACTGGAAAGACGTAGAGCCTTCTCTTCAATATCTCATAATCTTTACCATCGCACTGGGATGTATTATTTTCCTTCTCGGAGCACTAGGAATGTTTGGCGCATGTACGAAAAGTGTTTGTCTCTTAACAACGGTAATTTCAAATAACTCCTTTCAGAGAGACACTTTTTCCCCGTAGTATTGTATCCTTCTTGTGCTTTTAATTATTGGCCAGGTAGCAGCTGGAATAATTGCAGTTAAGCAAAAGCCAAAGGTAATAGTTAAAAATAGTTTAAATTACTAAACTATAGATTAAAGAAAAAGTTTCTGAAGCCTTGAGTTCACTTGTAAGACGCTTCTATACTGATGAACATGTAAAAAAAGTCTTGGACGAAATTCAGCATAAGGTAAGGTGAATATTGATTTTTAAGCTTAACAACTTAGTTACAATGTTGCGGTGCCAAATCTTGGTCTGACTATGGAACAGCGATACCACCATCATGTTATGAAGGTACAACTCTTCATGCGGAGGTAAAGTATTTTTCATTTTTTGTTTTTCTTAAGTAATAATTTTCACTATTTACAACACATGTGAAAATATGAGTAAGTGACTAGAGTGCAAATTTTGCATTTTTATGAGGCTCACACTTCTAGTGTTCTTGTGATGAACTAACTTTGGTAAACACGAACGTTCAAATACTGGAAGCGCTCCCGCTTCGTACGTTATGCCGCTTTGTCTATTCATTTTTTAATTCAAATTAGTTTTAAAATCAGCATTTCTTCAGTCGTGCGAAGTGAATATTTCATTTTATGAAATGAAACAAGTTCATGAAATAAACGCCTATAAGGTGAACAATTGAGATAACCATACAAAGAAGAGTCAGATGAACACATAGTCTGAAATAAGCGGATTATAAGTATTTATGGTCATTCTCAGGAGAATAGGTATTAGTAAGATGGAATAGTGCTACAGGATATCATTATGAAGACATTTTATTATTATTATTTCAAGTAGCTTTGAGTGGTACAAATTTACTAAAGAAAAGGAGTTAAAACCCATATACTGTTGAATACAACTTATCTCTCCTTTCTGTTGCGCCTTCCCAAAAATAAATCGTGAGAATTACGACTAATATATGTATATGAATGTATAAAATTTTCAGATGTTATCAATAATTGACAGTAAGATACCTTAATTGACTTCAAAATATGAATAGATAAAATAGTAGAATTTTCGCAAATAATTCTACAAGTAGTAGAATGTTTTGATAAGCTGTGCTGTGACCGGCACCTCAAACTAAATGGGTCGAGAACCTAGACATAAGGGAAACTGAAACATCTGCCCTTTGTCACAAATTAGGTGGTATACAATTCAAGTAAAAGGATTCGGAATTCACCCATTTCTAACCACATTCGATTTTTCAATATAACACAATGGTTGCTTTATTGTTTGCTAAGTACAAGTGATGATTCAGTTTCAATTACTTCTCTTTCCAGGGATGTATTAAAAGGGTCAGTGAATTGGCTAAAAAGAATATGAATGCCATCATAGTGTGCGTATTCGTTTTTGCATTCCTACAAGCAATCTGCCTAGTATTCGCCATCTGTGTTCTTATGGCAATAAAACAAGGGAATGATGATTGATTTCAAACATCGAAGGTAAATATACAGTCTGTATACAGGGAGTCAAGAGACAGAACCTGAAATGAAGCGAAACATTAACGTATATAATTTAAATTATAATGTACTTTTCTAATTCATCTACATTGTCTACATTCTCCTTGGATTTACACTCTGAAAATCCTACATACTAGGAAATCTTTTCCAATAATCCGTGTAACATTACTAATTCTGTCTATATCTTTAATTACACAGTATCGAAACTTTTTTTATCTATGTGACTGTCTGTTTCTATCTTGAATGTATACCGAGGTCTGTTGAAGTTTCAAATAAAATAAAACTGAAAGCATCTTTTCTAGTGTTTTAACTGTCAAATTTACAACACGAATTGATTATTAGAAGGGGAACTGCATTCTGCTTTACTCAACCAAGTTGTACATTTATTTTCAGAGAAATGGTATGGGTGGTTGATCAACGGAAGATTGCAGTGTGATTTCTTAATTCCACATCCAGTGAAGAGTAGTTATTTGCGTGAGTGAGTGAGACGATGGAAAACACGTATAGCAGTAAACACTGAAATCATTTACATGACTATAAGAGGTTTGTTCCCTATATAAAGGGAACTAGTTAGCTTGGCAAACTAGTTTAGATTCCTATTCTAGTTGGGAATGGAAGGTTTCCAGCATACGTTAATCCCCCGAAATATTCTGAACTGGTAGAAAGGGAGACAGAAGATAGATGAGGTCCACAGTCATTCAATGGAATTTCGAACATCGTGATTAAATCTCCTCTCTGTCTATTTTAGGAAAGAGGGAAGAGAACTAAAGTGTTAACTCCTTTCTCCGATGATGGATCAGCCATATTAGGAATCATACATATAGGCACTCTTTGAACTATATATCAGTCCTCACTGAAATAAGCCCCCCTGCCCCTGAGCAGGAAACATATTTCAGTTGACTTTGATTCACCACTGTCTTCGACATATCAGGAATTTGTTCATCCTTCTGAGCAAGCCACCCATTATTCCAAAATAATCATGAGCAGTCCAGTGTGCAGCACTTTGTCGAGAGCTTTGTTGAAGTCTACACGAACGACGTTGATGTGTTTGTCCAAAACTTGAAGTATCTCTCTCTTACTGTTGGTAGGTCCATTGGGCATGACAGATTTCCCCAGAAATCGTAATGTGCATTGGGTGACAAGTGGTTGTTTTCCACATATATCATGATAGCTTCCTTTTCCAGTATTTTGACCGAGGCACTGGTAAGACGTTTAGGCGCTTAGTTTGAACAAGAGCGCTTGATTCTTCTGTCATTGATAGGGTTTATTACTGTGTCATTCTAGTCACATGGCGACACCCCGTATGGCAGACAATACTTGAAGCGTTAGACTGGCTACGCGAATGAACCAATAGTCACTTTGAAAATCGTTCGTGTAGATCGTCGAGGTCCATTGATTTTATATAGTTGATATAGCTGGGGGATTGGAATACGAAGTTCAGGTAGAATGTGTAGCGTTTTATAGTAACATGGCAGGGGTCAATATTATCATTGGTGGTAAATAGTGTTTAGAAGCTCTATAGAAATCATCTGTGATACCTCCAGCTATTTCCTTAACATACGTGGTTGTATCTATATGAACAGTCACTCCGAATACCATGAAACAAGTCTTACTATTGATATTCATGTGGGAAAATTGTTCCGCAGTTGCGTTTTGGTTTAAACGCAGTTCGAATTTTATCAGTGACTGATATGTCTCTTCAACAGCTTTGTTTCTAGCTGCACAGCACAGCTCTCTGCCTTCTGAAGTCCTAGGAGAGATAGACACGCACCAGATATATTGTTCACTCTTCAATGGTTCAAGAATCTCCTGATTTATCCCTCCGGAGTAATGCTTTTCACCCTCACAGGCGGCTTTCTGGATTTAAGCTTGAGTTACGTAGGTGTACAGTTGAATGAATCTACTCAGTGTGGCTTCTACATGGACTTTCATATATGCAGTTCAGTTATCTGATAAGGCTGAAGAAATAACAGCATTTATGTCAGCCTTCCACATATTTGGTTAAGCTGGAGTACGAGTTCCAGATACTCCTGCAGCTTTGAACGCAAAGTTCAGGACCTCGTGCTCGCTGTGATGTTTTCCAGGATTTCTGAGTCAGCTAGACTATCCAGTCTACTTCATTTGTTCCAGGATACTTCAAGTCTTACTATAGCATACTATTAGTTCACGTCGATGCATCCACTCTCCACATTCACATCTGCGGGAAACAACAAACTCCGAACACTTACTATGTGGAGACCACAACGAAAAGTGTTTCATCGTCAATGTGAGACCATTTACCTAATTTCAGCCCATCAGACTACCTCTCCATGCTGTCTCCTACGTACAGGTCTGCGTGGAAGTAAGTGACATATTCCTTTGGAGTGTAGGCGGTGTTCAGGAAAATAACCGTGTGTCTGCTGCTACTAAGGTTTTCTAATGATGTCACATCAGGACAACTGTTTGATTGTTGCCTTTCTTAAGGAGAACAAAGAGATATTGCTTTGGAAAAAGCGGACAGCTGCTGACTAAACTAAACCGAATTACCACAGTTCAAAATAAAAGTTTCATCAAGAGGACAACACGAAACTGAGAACCCAAAATATTAAAAACAAACCTTCAACCAAAAGTTAATCACAAGATCTAATGAAAAGAACACTATCTTTATCAAGAACAATTGAGGCTCTCGTTAATCTCCAGGCTTTTGTGTTTGGAATCAAGCAAGAAGTTGTAGAAATTCATCCAGTTCTCAAAGTTTGCATTGTATGGTTTTAATTGATGGAAAATTCCCATTGTAACATGTAGAAAATAAAAACAAGTGATTCAGCAGAGAGAATCTTTTCAACGAATTTATTATCAAGCTGTACAATCGTATATAAATGGTTTTTAACATCCCACTGTTGACCACCTCTGTGTGTGTTTATCAATTCACCTGCTCGTGTGGAGCTAGGTATATCGGTCGTTCGACTCAAGTTTTGTCTAAGAGGGTGCAAGAACCCCATCCTGCATGGTAGTTACGAAGAGGTAAAGTGGAGCAATAAGAAGCGTGACCAGTGAATATCTGGTTGATAATGATCACCCAATGTCTATAGCCTCCACCTTTAAAGTCATCTACAAGGCAAAAAGTAACTTTAGGAAATCACTACGTACCCAACTCATCTGTGGCTATCGAAACAGAAAAGCCAGATCTTTGTGTGTCCAGAAAAAGTTCTTTCAACCCCTCCAACTTTCATGGTCTTAATCCCTCTATGCTAAAGTATGGTAATTCCTAATCATATTTTGGCTCTACCAATTTTTCATTTTATCATTTTTGTCCATTCAATTCGTGTACTCTTCCTTTATTACATCAATTGTTACTATTACTACTCTCACTTTTAATTGTCCCCGGTATTATTTCACTTGTTCCATTTGTCATTCTAAATCAATTCCTTTTTACAACATTTAATTCTACGCTATCAAATTTCGCACAATATTACGTGACGCTTTTATTTTATTAGATTTGCCTACTAATCCTATAAATGCATACCCTTTCCAAGTTCTATCCATCCTATGAATTATTCTATATATGACATTAATTGTTTTGCCACTTGACATAGAACTGTGATTATAATCACAAACATTTTAGTTTTGATTGCATTTCATACTACTACTACTACTACTACTACTACTACTACTACTACTACTACTACTACTACTACTACTACTACTACTACTACTACTACTACTACTATTATTATTATTATTATTATTATTATTTTATGTATTCACACCAAAGATTCAGTTCCCTCATTGGATAGAACTTCTTAAAAACTACATGTATGTACGATTGTACAGCTTGACAATAAATTCGTTGTTGAAAAGATTCTTGTATGGTTTTTACTGATAAATCTTTTGACATCGATGACCACACCGTAAGCAGTAAGACTTCAACAATACTAGTCATACGATCGATGCAGCGAAGATCCACCCACTGCACCTTGATTAATGAACACCTAGCATACTTGTAGTGAAGTGTATTAAAGTTACTTACCAAATGTACTATGTTCCGCTTTTCTCTAATTATATGCAGCCGCAAAATCTATCTGTCTGTATATGGACAAAGATCTAAAATATATATTCGAAAACATTTTCCATATATTTGATTCCCTTCATATGTTTGAATAACGAAAGGAAGAAAGAAAGAAGGACGAAACTGACAGTATAAAGTACGATATCATCATCCTATCTCACACGTCCTCATCAGCTGCCGTAGAATAGTTGAAATCGCAATGATTATAAATAATGATAATAACATACATTATTGTTTGAATAGTGGCAAAGAAAACATTGTAAAATCAACGCATCCGAAATATATTATATAGTTGTTTCTTTTAGTTCCTAGAGGAAAATAGGGTTTCAACCACACGTCTCCATTGCGTTTGGTTCTCTGCCAGAGTTTTCATCTGGCTCCACGTCTGCCACATGCTTTCGTCTCCTCTTCACATGACCTCCTCCATGTCACCCTCGCACTGACGACCAACTCACCGATTCCCATTCACCTTCTAATCGAGTGATGGCCTGCATTGCGGGTGATGTCACTCACTTGATGGTTTGTTTTCTCACAGTGTGGCCAGCCAATCCACCTCCATTTCTTCCTGCATATTTGTTGCACAGTTGGTTCCTACTGGGTTGGTCCAGTCATTGCCAGAGATCCCTCACTATTGCTGATCCTTTCTGGCTGGCCATCTGTTCTTTAGTATTGGACGAAGACAGCTGTTGATGAAGTGTGTAGTTTTTTTCAAAGTTCCCTTCTTGGCGTGGCATGGCGCCAAGTCTCTGATCCATTTAGTGAGTAGCACTGATTTACTTCACATTGGAGTTGAAAATCCGTATCTTGTTTTTCACTCTGAGTGCTGTTGACCTCCACACAGAATTAGGAGTAATGAAATCTTACCTAGCTTTCCTGATGATCCTCGCTTTGATATCCTCATCAGTTCCGTCCGCCTGTAGTTGAAACAATGCTTCCCAGCTAGGTAGGTAGGTAGGTAGGAAGGTGAAGGAGGTTGCTTCTTTCAGATTCCTCCCATTTATGCTGGCTGATTATTGTCTGTTGTTGAGAATGCTATTGCTGTTGAGCAGTAATCTTCATCACCCCTGTTTTCTATATGTTCACCTGAAGGCCTATCTTCTATGGATGCTTCTTCTGCCAACGTGTTGGTTTTCACTTGCATATCTTCCAGTTTGTGGGAAATCACACATATATATATGACATCAGCGAAGTCCAGATCCTCCAAGTTTTTGTCTGGGTCCATTTTGTGCCTGTCTCCTCGTTGCCC